GGAAGAAAGCTGCTTGACAGCAATTACGGTGCCATCTGATAGAAGGCCCTGCATTTGAGAAACAAAGTCAAAATCCCTTCAATAAAATGCAGAGCAACTTTAATAAGAATGCTTACAATTAGTCAAGTTAGCCCAACTGCAATAAATAAATAGAAATATTGGCTCCGCAGAATACCTTGTAAACAGAACCAAAACCACCTTCTCCAATCTTATTGGCTTTGTCAAAGTTGTTTGTGGCATCTTTAAGTTGCCTGAAGGTAAATTTACCAGTTTGCAGGTCCACGCCCTTTAAATCTGTGTAAGAAGCAAACTCATATAAAAAATTGTGTCTAAAAGAAATTCATAATGGTAAGCATATAATTTTTTCATATCACGCTACTGATTCAAGGCCAAGAATTTAACAAGTGGACCTATAGGTAGGTAAATTTTGCATCAGGAGTTTGAACAGATAATATATTCTAGCAGCATTAGAGCATCCACAGTGGGGGGTGTATTTTTGGTGGTGTAAAGCCACTTTTACATCCCCTTTACACCTCCGGGGGGTGTAAATACGCTTTTTGCTCCAATGGGGGGGTGTATTTTCGGGGGTGTAAAGCTACTTTTCTCCATTTTCCCTCTTTTTTTTGCAACTGCGTCCCACCTGCAAGAGATGTAAAAAGTGATGTACAATTGCATCTAAATATATATCTCCAAGGTGGTGATGTAATTATACATTCATATACACCCCCTCATTGCGGATGATTCCGATCACAACGGGTGTATATTTAACATACCCAGCCCAATAGAAACGGATCTCCAAGGTACCACTAGTTACAGCAGCAGTATAGTTCATTATGACTGCAGTACTAATCCCACCAGCTTTATCGACAATATTGAAATCCTTCTGCACTAGTCTCCCCTGCAATATCCTAGTTTTGTTACATAACATTTCATGATCGTAATGTGGTATATTTTTTCAGCCTTGACTGCAACCTATTTTTACATGTTATTACTAGAAATTCATAAACATTTGAATTAACCAGGAACTAAACAGTGTCTGTTGACCTTTACCTGAATGTAAACATCAAATATACGCCTTCCCAGGCTTTTATATGTTTTGCCATTTTCAAACTCTGTCTCTGCAAAATGGAGCTTTACAGTGTAATAAGTTAGAGAGATGGGAGAAAGGCGTGCTTCCGTGTACAGTTGTGGATTGGGCATGGAGAGTCTAGATTCTTTATTTTGGATAAAGATGTCTTGAGTATGGTCATCATCAGGAAAGTAACCAGTGCTGCTTAAAGCCCAATTTGTGCTCTTGTAAAATGATGAAGGTCCAGCTGGATATGTGTCCTCATCAAATGTTTTATCTTTTTCCTCATGTACAGTTACTGATTTTCCACCACAATTTATACCGAGAAAGTACCAAGCTAATGACGGAAAGAAAAAGGAGATTAGTAGCCATTGCTGAGGAAAACAAAAAAGCATCAACCCCAGAAGAAGAAGAAAAAGGCAATTATGGCAATTATTTCTATTATACCAAGCTATGACTGAAAGAAAAAGGAGATTAGTAGCCATCTCCCACTACCCCAAACAAAAGAAGATCAAACATAAATATATCTTGGAAAGCAATATGTGGAAACCCAACTTACTTTTTGGACATTTTGAAATTCCCAAACACGTAACAGGTTTTCTAATAGGAGAATGCAGCAAGATCCAGAAGAAGTCAGCAAGATAACATCATAAATGAAAATAAGTTGTAAAATAAAAATAAGAATACTCAGTTGGAATGCTTTCAGAGGATTAATTTGTAACTTACGAAATATTGTCCTTTGAAGAGCTTGCAAACAAGTTCCTGTAGAAATTAACACAAATTGAAAATTTAAGTTTGCTCTACAAGACACAAACAAAGTAAACTCAAGCTAATGAAAACATTCTTACGAGCCGCCTTGTGATTGACAACCTGTGTCCCCTATGGCGAAGCTATTATATGAAAGATCACTGCACAAAAAGGGCTGTTATGTAAATTCCTTTCCAAATGTAGTATGAGAACAGAAAATAAAATGAGGAGCAAGAGGTAGGTATTAACATGGTTGGACTGAAGTTTTGAAATCATAGTTTATATCAATTCTAGCAAGATTTAATTCTGAAAATCCAATATTAAAACAATCAACCAAACTTCATGAGATGAAAAATATTAGCTACTTTCACTATTCATAGTCATAATTGCCTAAGCTCTCACAACTGTCCATGTTAAGCCAAGTTCACCTTAAAATTTCCTCGTACTGAATTTGGTCAAGCTACCCACATCTCATAACATATAGTATACCAAGATGATAAAGGTCCACCCCAAGACAAGGGCATAGCCATCATTTAATTTCAGGATGCTCTCTTCCCTTGGAACTACCTTCTATGTTGATTAGGTCAATCTCTCCAACTTATGCATCTACTAAACACTGTTGAATATGTCGAATCCTATCCTTCCTTGTCTTCCCACACATCCATCTTGACATTCTCATTCCCACCACACTCATTTTATGAACATGTTGTTTTCTAAGTGCCTACAATTTCGTCCCATATAGCATGGCTGGTCTACCAATATATGCAAAAAATGTTTTGGAGATATGAGGAAAACCTTGAAAAAGCTTAGGATTCTTAAACTTAGGAAAAAATTTAGGATACTTTTAATGCCTACTTCATGAGTATAATTGTATGTCAAGCTCCATTATGACTTTAATGCACTATGCTTTATCCAGTAATAGACAGTATAAATCTCCTTACTAAAGAACTAAAGATTAAACTTTGGAAGAGAAGCTTACACATTTTAGGATACTTTTAAAACTTCAAAATCTTACATAAAAAAGAATGCTATCAACAATTTTAATATCAATGATCATGAGAAAATGTTCATTTATGCCTATTTCATGAGTATGAAAAGTCATGTCATAACGCATGCACTATGCTTTATCCAGTAATAGACAGCATAAATTTCCTTACTAAGTAACTAAATATTAGAATTTGGAAGAGAAGCTTACACGTTTCCTTTCTTAAAAGTAGGCACGGGTCCAGTCAGCAAGTTTCCAGTTAAGAATCTAAACATAATTGATACATAAAAAAGGGCATGAATTACTAGAATGGTACATAAATTAAAAAAAGGCCTGCACATAGACTTAAATTCTCCCAGTGCTTCTAAATAAAAATACATATATGTTTGAGCTTGTTTCAGACATGTGTCATATTCTTAGTGAGTACACAACTTAAACACACTGGTATTAGTCAAGCAGTTTACTTAGTTTGTTGGTTTTCAGTTGTTTGCTTGAGTATAACTTGTGAGTCATTAGTTATATAGTAAGCATGATTAACACGTCCAGCTTGTAGGGCAGGGGTGTGACAAAACCATTGAAGAATGTCTGCTTGAGTTTTCTTGTAAGAAAGTCAAGATTTGTTATTCAAATTGCTTACATATACTCCACTTTTGTTAGAGCATCAAGGTTGCTTGGAATTTTTCCGGTTAGCTTGTTAAAGCTGAGGTCTCTGCACAAACCAATAACAAATGCATTTCAGATATGCTCCCCCAGAGAGAAACGTTATTTAAATTAATAATAATAATAATAATAAAATCACTCCAGGAATCAGGTAAGTGTAAAATCTATGCCAGGATATTCTTTTGTGTATACTTGTGTGTGAGTACGCTGATTACTTAAAAATTCGGCATGCTTTTTGTACATACGGAAACATACGCCCCCTCCAACATCCTCAATGTCATTCAACAATCCTTGAGTTATTAGAATTGTTGGAGTTGGCTTGACTAAACGAAGGAAAGAAGGAAGCAGCCCAGCATGCAAGCGCTCAAGCGGAACCTGTAGGCGCTCGAGCGGCAGAGGCATTTTGGCGCAGGCGCTCGAGCAGGTCGCGATTTCCTGTTTTAAAATAGGTCGGTTTTTGGCCTATTTTTTGGAGGTTTTTTAGTTTTATATTCCTTGTATGATTGTGCTAAAGGCCTATATAAATAGGTACTTTAGACTAGGGTTTAGTAGAGATTCAAGATATACAAACCTAGGGTGAGAGAAAAAGAGATCTAGAGAGAGAGAGAGAGAGAGAGAGAGATCAAAGGGAGTTCTTTATTCTAACCAAAGGGATTTTTCTCATACTAGTGAATTTTCTCGGGGATTACCGGAGAGGACGTAGGCATGACGCCGAACCTCTATAAATTCTTGTGTGTTCTTGTGTATGTTTACTCTTGTGGTTTCGTGTGCAATTTATCTTTGCGTAGCTTGTGTTGTGATTGTTGCGTAGTCCATCAACGACAAGGTCTTGGAAGTGTTTTCGTACAACAAGAATAGCATCTGGAAAGAAGATAATTTATTTGGAGACAGTAAAAGAAACAGGGACAAAGACATTTGTACTAACAAAGTTTTCAACTTCGTCAGGTCCCCGAGATATGTAGGTAGCTGTCCAACAATATTGCAACTCCTCAACATCCTGTAACAGAAGCACTAAAATTATGAGTTTGCAAAAGACTTCTGCTACAGACAGAAATTGTGTGTCGTGGAACCATTAACTCACAGTGTCTTCATGCTTTTCATATTCTCAAGTGGAGGAAAGGTTGCTTCAGGCCCACTCAAGTCAGTAATTCTCCTGCATGTTAAAATCGAGCAATGAACATACAGAATATTGCTAATCTGTTTGTATTTATAAATAGATACAAAATCAAAATCCATACTAACAAGTCAGTTAATTTTGTCAAAAGAGAAATGCCGGAAGGAATTGGCCCCGTCAAACCACTAGCCTGAATCAGTCTGTTTTAACAAGTCATAACATTTGAATTAGTGATAATATTCAGAATCAAGTAGCAGCAAAGATAACAACAACAACAACAA